TACGAAACTTTTTAATGTTTATTGGTTCTCTGCATATAGATTTAGGGCTGTATTTGGGCTTTAGAAAGCTCAGTCAATGTGAGTAGCTTTCCTGTGGGTGTGCTAATGTGTCCCAAATGATGCTAAAACATTCCGCCAGAATCCATTACAGAAGCACAGCATCCAAACAACATAAAAAAAAGCTTCAAACATATTTGCTCTGACGAAAAAAAAGCAACCTCTAAAACATACTTTTTCAATTATTGTCATAGAATATATTTTTAAAAAATTAATGAACTGTCAAATTCATCAAACTGCTTTGCTCCTCAAGCTAGCATGACAAGGAAGGAAAAGTTTCTGACAAGAAAAAGACTGCTCCAAAAAAAAAGGCATGCAAAGCCCTTGTTTATAATCACAGGCTCCGCCCACAAGAAAGCAAAACAAAAACAAAAATTGCTTCTAACTCAAGTAAACCCATAAAAAGTATGCAAGAAATAAACCTCAAACCAAAATTACAATATATTCAATTTACTAGAAAACACTCGATTAATACAACGTTCTGATGATGTCATTACGTCATCACGTGACTCCCGTTTGGCGCGCATTAATCCGGAAATAGCTTTGTTTGAATATCTGAACCGGGAAAATGTTTGAGACTGAAAATTACAAGGTAGGATGGACATGACAACTGAGGCAGGAACGCCGCGTGTATTTTCACGACGAACCGCGCCAATCTGTGCTGAAACCAAAGAGTAAGTTATGTCGGGTGTGCGTGTGGGTACGGATTTACTGTAGGACTCTGTCCCAGCTCGTGATTGCTTCTCCGTTACCTAGGGAATTACAAGAAACAAAATTTATTAAATTACGGGAAACAAGTGTGCACAAATTTTATGGAGTATCACATAAAATATTACAGTTTACCTAATATCATGCTTTCATAGTCATCAAAAGAACTGTGTTTAATCTGGAACCTAGCTTCTGAACCAGTCTCTTAACTGTGGTCCCCAGACCAGTGGTGGTCCGCGGGCGCCCCCTAGTGGCCGGCAAGGCACTGCATGTAGCTAACCTATCGTTTATTTGCCATGACCTGAATATCAAAGTCCCACGCTATTGTTAGCTTACCAAAGGATTGTGCTTAAAAATAATAATGGCTAAATGGATTAAGACTGTCACTGAAAAGAAAAACGGTGCAAAGTTTGTCAGTGAGTTGCATAACTTTTGTTTTTGAACACTATTACGATACAAAATATTTTTTGCCAAAGCAACTCAAGTCTATTCTTCCTTTAATATGCTTCTAAATTACAAACAGCCCTAAAACATTATTAGAGGATAACAGCAGTTGAAGTAAAGATTTTATTTTTATTTGATATTATTTATGTTAAGATATTGTGTTATTGTGGGGCAGTTTCAAATTAGGTGGTCAATGAGTGTTTGCTAAATTGGATAAGTGGTCCTCGGCCTGAAATGTTTTAGAAACATTTTTAGAGGTAGTTTTCTTTAGTAGATCATTAACTTTCGCCTGCATCAGATATGAGGCTGATGCCAGTCATTTATCATTCATCTGTCTGTAAATTAGCATTTTATATATTGCTTTGGTAGATGGCGTAAATACAGGCAGCCATTGGATTTGTACCACCTCTTTTAGCACAGCGATAAATCAAATGGACACAATAACATTGATGCTTTTTGCATATCCGTTGTCGTGATCTTCTGTTGCATGCTGATGGAACGGCACAATCACTGTGTAAATTATTGATACGACACACTGCCGCTTTGAATGTCAATACATCTCCCCGGAGACAGGAAGAGATACGGAATACTGATCAATAGAGACAGATGGGCGGATTCAAAGAAACTGAACGAAAAGAGGCACACAACTGACAAGGAGTTCAACGCAAAACTCTCAGCAACATGTTGTTTTTCCTTAATGTTAACTCACGATGATAACTACCCTCTTATGTTGTTTTACAATATCAAAGGTCAAGATGTGCTTGGGTTAATTGAATTCCAGATTTATTGCTGCACAGCGGTGCCTCTCCACGGGGTGACGGCTCTGAAGGGCTCGATAATAACACTCAGTGGGTTTGCTGAATCAGTGTGTGTATTATTAGTGGATCAGGGAGTCAGGGTAGGTGTGGGGGGAGAAAGCCAAACATTATGTAGCAGCATGAAATATTGAAGAAACTCGTCTTTATTGTTTTCCTTGGGAGGATGCAGTGAAAGGCTTACTCAGCAAACTCTTAAGGCTCAAATAAAAATCTGAAGCCATTTTACTGTACCTTCTTTTAAACGGTGTTTTAAGTTTTGCTAACAGTTGTCTGTTTAATTGCCTGCAGCGTGTCAAAAATAGAGGAAAGATTTGTTAGGGTTTAGGTAAAAGTAAATCAGTGTACATAAGATATTAATAATATTGATTTATTCTGAATAAGAAATGTTTTGGAGAACTCTCTTGGACCTTTGGGGGACAAAATTAAAATACAATTAGTAGTTGTAGCAAAGCAGAGTGGCCCTCAGTTTCAACCACAGCACTAGAAGATGGCACTTAATGAACAAGATGAACTCGACTCTCAATATCTCAACTCGAAAGTTGAGATATTTTATTGGATCGCTTTCTGGTCATTTGACGTCCTAATGCTGGTAATTTCTCATTTTTTTCTTACACAGTGGGAAAAACTTTGATCATTCAGCAAAGGGACCTAACAAAATGATTGAAACTAAGAATTTAGGTCTATAATTCAGTCCCTAATCCCATTTTAACCAGATTTAAACTTCAATAGACTTCCTTTCATTTCTCAACCACATTTCCCCATTGTTCAGGCAAAAGTTTTCTATTTATTTTCAATAAAATCTTTCTTACAGGGCAGCTACATGTTTCATTCTGCTCATGCAGTGATGCCAACTGTGTTGAAAAGAGCCTTCCTCATTCGGACATTGCTACATCGTGTGTGTGCGCGTGTGTGTGTGTGAGCAGGGGTCATCACTATTATTTCCATGACTCACATTTAAAGCAGGGTTAATGCTAAACTACACATTGAGGCCACTCTCCTGTGCTCATCCTCCCATTTAATCAAGTTTATGTTTGTGCGCCACAAAGCGATGACAGCCAAATTGGAAGATCCAAATGTCACATTCAGGGTTATTCTTCTGTGAATTTTCGAATGTCATCTTTACGGTTGCTGAGCAATTCTGCTCACTGAGTTGCAGACACAAACTAAATTGAAAATCATAAAAAGCTGTCAGCAATGTGTGACGGAGACAGAGGTGGAGATGATTGATATGTGTTGCTTTGTGCGCTTTGAAGATCTTACAAACACAAGTTTTCTGCATGCACATCAACAGCAGCTATGCTCTGCTGCATTTGCTGGCATGTCCTATGTAAAGTACTCAGTGGGGGTGAAACATTTCAGAGTTGTAATTAATAACTTCTGAAGGCATGCCTATCTGCTTGCCCGCTACCCTCAGCCTACATGATAATCTGCGGTCTAATCCAATCATGCGCAGCAGATGAGCAGAGGCAGTACTTCGGGAAATCATCTCGGCTTGCACATTTGAATTTGCTGAGTTCACAGTAAGAGAAATATAATTGGAATTTACAAATCCTCCATTCTCCTGTTGCATTTGCACTAAAAATCACCCTTTCTCTTTCTTTTAAATTGAATATGGGAGGGATAGTTTATGCTTTTATTTCAGGCACCATCACAGTGCCTAAATGGAAGATTAAAACCCATTTATCCTTATGAAAAATATATTGCTTTAAAATCCCAGACAATTTGTTTTAAAGACATCAGCAGGCTGTTTCTGTGCTTCCATTTATCATTGTAACAGTTCCTTCTTCACGTTAAACAGTTACTTCTTTTCCACTGCTGAGGAATCCTCACTTATCCGTTGGCCAGCTTGGTTTGCCTCTGAACTAGGCACAATTAATCATGCTGTCACACCTTTTATGCACGAGTGCTGGATGGCCTACAGGTTACCAGGTACAAGAAGACACAGATGAACATAATGGAGGATGCTAACCCCTGTTTTGCATGCAAAAAACAAACCGTCAATACCATTGATACTGTGCAAGATTATGTTATGGAGAAGCTCTTTCTGTAGACTTGAATGGAATACATTTGAGAACATGTGGAAAGGATGACTGAACTATATCAAACCAATAAGATCAGATTTTTTGTGAAAAAAATTGTTTGTTCCTCCCATCTCCAAGGTCAAATATGTACTTTTTTCTGGTACCAATTTTTGGTTAAATCATTTGTGATTCTTTTTTTGCTTGTGGTTTGTTTGTTTTGATTTTTCTCTCGTGATTTCATATAGAAAGAAAAATAATTGCAAATCGTAAGTTGTGAGAGGAACATAATGCCAAAAATGTCAAGTACTAGACATTTTATATGATAACTGTTATATGAAGTTTAATATCAAAATAAAATAAAAGAGAGAGAGAATAAAACGCACTCTGCAAGATTATATATTTTGGGTCTGTTTCTCCTGTTCTGTGAATCTCTGCAGCTCATCCAGAGTGTCCTTGGATCTCTTTGCTGCTTCTCTAGTTTGCCTGTCATACAATATCCCAATAAATTACATTGACATTTTTGGCTGTTGGATGAAACAATAAAAAAAACTGCTTTATATTTGCAATGGTGGCACTTCAAAATTGGTATACATACTTCATTTATGCAACTGCAATTTTCTCACAAAATATGAAACACTTTCACATAAAAGTTTGATACATTAAGTATGTCAACTCATTTACAAGACAAGAAAGTCCCAGGTGCTTCTATAGTCACATGTCAGAAAATGTAAAAAATAAAAAATCTCATTAGCCTGATTTAAATGTTATTTTTTTTCCCAAACTGAAATGTCTGATTATATTCAGAATGAGTTCCCTGACTGACGTAAATAATCAGGTTAAAGGGAACAAAGTGTCCTAATCCGACGATGTGTTGCAGGAGAGCTACAGATATGCTGACACCCCTGCATTGCTACGGTGACTGAAAAAAGAAATAATGAGGTGATTCTATATTTGGCTCTACGTTTGAGCATCCTGATCCTTTCTCCTATATAATTCGCCTTGAGTACATGACTGATCCTCTGAAAACACCCTCAGATGTTAGATTCCAGCTAATGACGCAAAAGTGACTTTCTACAGTTTCCCTCATTTCTCATCCTGCTCCCCTCTTGCTGTGCGTTTAAAGGAAGTGACACAAAGACAGCAGCGTCCCCGCTGACAAAACTGTTCATTTTGTTTCTGTCTGAGGAAAATAATAAGACATTAAACCCTGGGAGGGCTCGAGAGTCGTATGCTCCACGCAGCCTGTCTTCAAAGAGCGGCTGCTGGCTCGTTTTCACCAAAAGCGCTGAGCTTCGAGGGGGCTCCTGCCACATTTCTCAGGCAGCTGTGTTATTACGGACAGAGATAACTGAGTGGTCGTGGGTAGAAGAAGACCTTAACTGATTATTAGGAGAAACAAAGGCTGCCCCCTGCTGAGGGTGACGGGCTTGAGCGCAGTCATCCAGCCATCCTAATGGTTCTCTAAGGCGACCGCAGGGTGGACCTCTACAAATCAAAACCACAAAATAGTTCAATTATGGTCAATCTGGAAAATTGCAGGTTTAGGAAAGTTACATTGTTTGTGCTAAAGCACTGAGAAAGACAATGCAGACCCTACAGATTCAAAAATCAGCTTTTGTTAAATGGAATGGGATTTCGTATTGTTCTTTTTGCAAGAGTTTAGAAATCGTTTTTGTAAAGGTGAGCAAGTAGATATAAGTAGTTAAAAAGCAGATCACGGAACAACCAAAGACTGCTTTGTATAGCACATTTACGAACATCAAATATATAAGAACTGCCCCTGTTATAAGGGATAATCAAAAATTATGCATCAAAGAGACAGACACTATTTTTGGTACTTTATAAAAATACTACAATAATGAAAATTTATGTGACTGTGTCCATTTGCAAATGCAACACATGTCTTCTTTTCAAATATGCTCCAGGAAAATCTAGGTTTGAAAAGCCAAAAGCTCCACCTATTCACTCTTTCCTTGCGTCACCAAAGAGATTAGGAAACCAAAATTGCATAAAATGAGTGGGCAAAACAAAGGCAAGTGAAAATTGGAAAAGGGTGAAATAAAATTGAAAGAAAAGGTTTCAGCATCTAATGAGGGAACATGAGTCAGACGAATGGATCACACCACTAATGTCTGACTTAAAGGCCAGCAACTGCAATGCTGCTGATCGATTTCAGTCTCAACAAAAAAAATCTTGGAAAATATTGGAATCTTGACACTCCTCCAGCCATAAAGTGAGAGATATGGGGAAATCTGTGAAACCATAAACATGGAGTTTAACAGATGCCACCCATTTCTCCCCCTGCAGCTCCTTTACATGTGTGGCTCCAAGCCCAGGATGAGTCTCTGGTCACCAGTGTTGTTTTCTTTGGAGGCTCTGCTGGGGTGAAAACCTGTGGGAGGACGACATCAAAAATCTAAATAATTGTATTCAAAGTAGTTTGTTATTCCTGTGGGTGGAACTGACCAATCTGCATCAAACAAAGGAGGGAAGCATGTTGTCAAATCTACTTATTGTCATGAATTATACCCTCCATATTTAACAAGAGACTAATGCAGAACATGCTCAACTGAACATAAAAGGTACTTCCTGCCTGTGGCCATGTTTATGTAATGTCTTTCTGTTGTATATTTTCAAATTTCAATTTGACTTGTTTTATTTTAATATTTTATCTCAGTTTTTCAGCCTTCCTTGTCTTTTGCTACATTACTGAAGAGATTCTAAAGTCAGAATTACCAGAATGCACAAAATAGAAGCAAGAAAAACTCGAGCTGAATCTGTTTATGGGTAGTGGTGCAACTGTTTTACAGGATTTTCTGCAGCAGCATTGATGCTTCTGGTTAACGTGACTTCTTTTTGACTGATTTTGTCTGTGCACAAGTTTGGACGTGGCTGAGTGTGTTGGGGGAACGCTTCATGTCTCACTCTAGTTGGTCTTGAACAAGCTTTGATGTTCTTCTCTGCAGCAATGATCCACAAACGCATGTCCACCTGTCGCATCACATTGTGTCCACCTGGAGGCATTCTCAGCAAGATGCTGAACAAATCTGGTGTTTGCGGTACACTCCTGTATGTGTGTATGCACTGGGTTTAAACGTTTAGATGTCATGCTTTGTCCTGTTTCTGTCCTTGAGCATTCAGTCAGAGCATCACCCAAGGCTTTGCACTTTAAAGGAATCTGTTGCTACAACTTTGGCAAAAAATGACTAAAACTGCTAAATAATTAAATTGCAGAGAGGTGAAAGTAAAAGTAACTCCTCTTCAATTAATTTCAGTGTTGTATAAAATGACACTACTGTATAACTGTCGCCACTATTCCCTCCATGTTTCTAACCGACTTTTACCGGTCAGTGATGTTCCCTGTTTTAAATTCTGAGCAGGATATATTAAATAAATGTAATTTGACTTTAGCAAACTATCACAGCATTATTCTTCCGGTCAGATGCTGGTCTGAAAGTTTTTAGCAACACCAGGTCAGGTCAGTGCCTGGTCAGCATAGTTCTCTCTCCTCTCATGCAAGTTTCTTCATTTTGTCCTCTGTCTGTGTCCCTTGGGAAAAAATATCTGAATGATTGCCATGAAAGTATTATACATTAAAATAATTTTCACATACTTAAATTCACTTGTCAGCATAAATAACTATCCACGTTTTTTTAATCCCCTCTCAATGTCAGTCATAGTAAGTAAAACCTCTCTTAGGAAAGCGAAATAAAAAAAAACAAATTACAAATTGTTAGATTTACAGTACATAAAAATATGAGTAGAAAACAAAACCTGAAATTAGCAGATAAAACTATCACTAGAGAATGAAAACAAAATAAAAATTTAAATGATATTGTAATAGTTGTGAAGTTGAACATTTTAAAATGAAGTCAGCAAGAGAAAAATATGCACCAATAAAGCTGAAGTTAAGCAAAAAGAAAAAAAAAATGTTAAAGGAACAGGATTATTTATAGCGAAAAGGAAAAACATTTTTTTTCTGCTTCTTTAGCATCCACTGTGTTTGTAGTTGATAAACATTGATACAAATTGCTCCACATTTGCATGTGTTAGATGCAAATCCTGAGCAGAAATAAAGCAAATAGTGTGAGCAAAACATAAGGCAAACCTTGACGGAAGACAAACCTAATTCCGTAAACCTTTTTTCTTTTTTGTAATGCCAGCAGCACAACATGTCGCTTATTTCTTTTTCTTTTGTTGCACAAAAGTAATTTCCATCCCTTATTGGCACCATATGAATAAAACATGCAGATTGGGTTTTGGACAGTGTAGAGATATTTGCTCTGGTTGTTGTGTATATAAATATACTGCACATAAGTATAGGTGACTTCTACCCTAGCTTCATGAATGATGTTTTATTTAAATGTGGGCAGTACAGTTTTTATTTAGCTATTTTTGGAGTATATCTGTCATTGCATCTACTTTCAGAACTGGGATCACACCCAGATTCTGATTTTGCATCCACTGATAGCCTTGTGCATCTGCCCCTTCCTTTTTTTAGCTGCAGAATTAGTGTTGGATAGTTTCTGAAATGTTATCATAAAAACCTAATAGGCTGAGAAACCTACACCCCCGCCACACAACCTTTAAATACCACATCTGGAGTCCATAGCAATACACACGCTAAATATGAAACAGCATCATTTTTTAATGGCAGCCGTGTGTCGGTACCACAGGTGCATTCTGTGCAGAGTCTCATTTGAATCTAAGCCATAAAAGCTTCATCTTTTTAAGATAATTGACAGCGCTCTCCTTTAATAACTTCTCATGATTTATATTGTTTGCTTTCTGACCTTATCTCTGTGCAACACATCAGCAGCAGCTTCTAGTTTACTAACATCATTTCCAAAAAGCACGGCGCTGTGCTCCTGGTGATCATTCCCAATAGAACGCACATTTTGCTGCAGAGGCTGAGAGAATGACCCACTGCAGGGAAAAAAGGAATGAGTTCAAGGAGCAACTTTAGCTTGTGGGATGGTAATAAATTTCAGTTGCCCTTGTGGTTCATCAGTAAAAAGTTGTTGACAAAAATCTCATCTGCACAGCATCTCCCCAGATCAAACGTCCTTGCTTCATTTCCACTCTTGATCATAATCACAGTCTCTTTGTTGCCACTGTTTGAGTGAGAATTTAATTGTAATAGATGTTTTTGGGAAACATGCCCTGTTCCCTTAATTTTGTCCAATGACGGGTCATCCGTTTGGCTTTGATCTCATAATAACACAGGCTAGAATAATAAAGGATGCTGGCAACAATTGTCTGGTTGCTTTTGGCCCAATGCAGAGTTACAAGTTTATCAACAAGATTTTTAAAAATACATGTATAATAGGATATGGAATGCTGATTTGTCCAAAAAAAAAAAAACATTTCATTTAAGCAGAGAATTTGGACTAAGTTTTTAGGTGTCTACAAAATATTTTTAACGTACTAACATTATTTGTGTGCGTTGTTAGTAAAAGTGCAAAAAAGTATCATTTAAGAGCAAATTGAAACAAAATCTCTTGAGGTAGAGTTGAGAAACTTCAAAAATAAAATTCACTTAAAAGTGTGAATCTGAAACTAAAGTATCAAGCTTACCACAATCCAGTACTGATTTGGTATCGATATTATCAATATTTTGGATTGATCCACTCATGTTTACTGTAAATATCTGTACCCACGGGGGGAAAAAACTGTTATGCGATAATTTGCTCTTGGTCTGGCAGGGACTCCATCAAAAATATAATTTCAACTTGTTTGTAATATTTCATCAGCAACAAAATAGCTAATATTTCTCCACAGAGATAACTGGGTTGTCGATTAGGAGAATTGCTGAACCTCTCTGCACCCCCTAATCGCAGAGGCCAACAATCAACAACGTTTATCTACAGAGAAACAAATCTTGGGCTCCTGCTCACCAGCCAAACACCCTGTCATTCTGCCCGAATGATTTCATGCTCGGTGAGCCGAGCGGAGGGAGAATCTATCAGGAAAGAAGGGTCAGAAAGAACTACGAGGCTTTGGCACCTTCTTAGCACAGATAAACTGATTTGTCCTGGCCATGTTGTAGCGCAGTACGAGTGTGTGATTAGTGCTTTGAGTGCTGCTGGATATCTGAATTATGTTGTACTCTAAACTTGAAAGGATCCACAACCAATTAGATTACACCACTGTCCTTTCAACTGGAAAAAAACAAACAAAAAAACATCTAAATTATTGTTCAATTTTCATGGAGAATTTATCCAATAAAAGCTTCTCTCAAGCTGTCACAACGTTTGTTTAGTAACATTATAAACAACAATCAGTTTAATCTGAGCACAGTGACATCGGAACGCACACACTTCTGACACACTCATAATAATTTCTTTTTGTTTTCATTTTCCTTACATAACGTCTTGTTTTTAATTTCTCGAGTATTCCTGAAACCGCTGGGCTTGGTTGCCGTGGCGACTGGATCACATTTCCTCCTGTGGAATGAAAACAAGCTCATTTAATTTGTCATCTCCGTTCCCCATCTTCCTGCACCTGGTCAATACAAAGATGCGACTGTCTTAAATTACTAACAGACGTATCGCAGCAGAGACGGCTAACTCCAGGAACTATGGGCTGAGATTTTGGGGTTCACAGAGAAATTGACCAACTTTTCTTGCAATCTTTATTTATTTATTTATTTATTACTGAAATTTACTTATATTCATATATAATTATTTTCACTTTAAAAAAAAAAGAAAAGAAAATAATCAATGTAAGATTTTCTAGTATGTGAGCATAAAAATTCACAATGTCAGATATTTAATTGAATTTTTTTTTTCACAAGTAATTGTTCAATTACGTTTCAAATGATCCCACAATCTGCAGATAAAAAGGAAAGCTTGCAAGTCGTCATAGCTGTTGGTGAACTTTCTGATCCATGTACGTATAAACTTTCAAGAAACAAAGGTAAAAGTTTAACAGGTTTATTGCAATTCAGGAAGTGGTAGGACATGTCGTGACCCAGAGGGTTTCCTTTTAATGTGGAGGAGTGGAATCACTGCGAGGAAGAGGCTTAACAAGAATGAATATTGCTGAGAGTGAGATTTGTGGAAAGTCTTACTGGTTGGAGATGATTAGTTTGGAGCCAAGGAGGAGTAAGTATGAAAGAAATATAGTCTCATTAGAACCAGACATTTTTTTTAGACACTGAATATTTAGGTTGTGCAATTATCAAATAATTTTACACCAAATCTGCCTGCAAAAAACTTCATCTGAGAAAAAAAAAATACCTTTGAAATTTTACCTGCTCAAAAATAAATAAGTCATCTGTGAATGTGGCGACCTTCTGGTGACCCAACCAGAGTCAAGCCAATCAAAGTGTAGAACAGTTACAGCTGTAGTTGTTCTAGAAAGGCAAACAAAAAAAAAAACATTGTTGAAAGAAAATCTGAAGAAGTTTCTTTAAACAACACACAAGCTATGAGGGAGACGTAGAAAACATACGGAAGTTGTTCTGGTCAGATGACATCGGACAAAGTCTGCCAGACCACCACTTTAGATCCTTACCTCTCAGAAAAATTGCAATCTCACAGCTAAACCTCCATTAATTATTCCATTAATTCGTTCATTCCTTTGGGTACCTTAATTACCATTAATATGTCCTTCATTACAACTGGAATAATTCAAACCGTCCTGCTGAATCTGTCTGGCGGCCTCCTTAACAGCTTCAACTCACAGCCTGGTAGTAAAAGGTTGGCCGGACACCAGCCTGCACGGTTGATTCACGGTGAAGATCCTTTCATTGCTCTTTTATCCCCTCGGCTCCCTGAGTTCTTCCCAGACGAGCAGCTTCTACACCTCCAGCTATGAAACTTATAATGAAATCCTATAGGCTGATTCACTTTAAATGCCTCCCAGCTCTCTGCATGGAGAAAGTGACTGTACAGCACTACTTCGATCATTGGGCCTATGAATAATTTATCTTATTTAGTAACTGGTGTGAAGATTTCTTCATATTTTCAATATTTTTATAGAACTGATCAATTTTTTATGGCATCTAAATATATAACATTTTGTTAAATTATTTACTGAGCTTTCAAAGTAAATGAAACATAGTTTGTTTTAACGCGAGGAAAGTTGATGATTTATTGCACATAGTGCCAATTTAAACTCAGAGGAGCAGTTTATGTATTTTCCCTGATACATAGTGCCTTTTTATAGCACAATCAACTATGTTACCTACTGTTGTTATAAAAATACCATATATATCAAACATAACAGAAATTTGACTTCACAACTGAACACCTGGAAAATGAGCCTCTGTCTCTTTAAGAAGTTTCTACACTTTCCGACGCTCACGCCTCCAGCACGTCATCAGTGTTTCTTCGCTAAGCTTTTTACAGCCGCTCTTTGGAGTGTTGTTGGATTGCGAAGTAGTTCTTTGGATAAGCTCAGGAGTCTTGCAGTTCCACCATATGTTTGCTAATTGCTGCTGCTAGTCTGGAGGAGCACAGGGAGCAGAATAAGGAGATTCAAAGATGTCTCAAACATGCATGAATGAATCAAAGCAATACTCCAGCTTTGCTTTTGATAAGGGAATAAAATGATATAAAACAACAAAAAAAAGTTGATTTTACACACTCTTCCTTTAAACGTTCAGCTGGGAAGATTCAAACGGAAACCCAACATAAAACATTAAAATGCTTCTTAAAAAGAAACCCTTCTACGACGCCTGTCTCTTGGAACCGAGAGAATAGATCAAAGACATCATTGATCCTCTCCGCCTTCATTCACGCTCAGATCTGAAGAGAATCACTCGGCACACACCTGAGGAGCTGCTGTATTTACTGTACTAAAACTGAGCATTTTCATTGAACCTTTGATTTCTTTTTCATGTTGACATACTTTAAAATTGTGCACAGTTTTACCCATCAGGCCACACAAACAGTAAAGCCATGTTTATATAGAAGGCTGCCTGAAGAGACCTGAAAAGACACACACTGATCTAATTAAAACAGCAACAGATTTTATTAAAAAATATAACCCGCTAAAGCTTTAAAGTCTCTCAAAGGAGGACGCGTCTCTAATTCAAGCTGTCATTTCACTAATGAGTTGCCAAACACTGTAAAGCAGCCTCTCCCAGTAGATCAGTGGTGAACTGAGCACCTTGGTATGTGATCTGTATATGAGCAGTGGATGTCAGATTTCTTTCCTATGAGCGAGGACAACAACAAGCAGACACTTTCCAAACACCACAGCTGGCCTGAGAACCTTTTCATGTAGCTCAATAAGGTGAATGTGGAAGCTGTCAGTGGAGATGAATCGAAGGGCTCGGCGGCAGTCTGCCCCCACATGTTGCTGGTGTTGCTGTGAGTGGCAGCAACCTGTACTTAATATGGAAACAGTGTGGCAGGCTGTATAATGGTTTCTCTGCTTTCAAAAGGGGAAACAAGCTGCAGGAGCCGGAGAGACAACATAGATCTTTTTCTGTCTCAGACGCTTAGATGGTCAACTATTGTACCGAAGCAGCTACAAAAAATAATGACATTTGTGGTGTAACAATACATTCAGAATACATGGCGAGACAAAACTACATTGGGATGCTGTTTTTGCCATCCTTAAAAAATTAAGATTTCAAGGAAGTACTCTGGTAAAACTACACAGCCCATGTTTTTTTTTTTTTCTGGGTAATGGATTTTTTGATCAAAAGAATTTGTAATAAGCACAGAATATGTCTCTGGTGTAGCTTCTCTGCCATCCAATGTCTTTATCTACTTCTACATACAGGATCACATGGGACCTTTGGATATATGCTTATATCCAAAGGTCATTAAATGAGATTCAGGGTAATGTAGTTTGTTAGTTTTACCTTAAAATAAAAGACTGAAGCAGCTTTAGATTATTTGTTTGGAAGCTGAATATACTAGTACCAGAATATGATTATAAGAAAATGAAAAATGTAAACTTTTATTTATCCATTTTTTACAGATATTTTTCTGGGACCTATAACTATATTATGCCAATCTTCAGACTCATGAGAAGGCTTTGATATTCATGGCAGTATGTAGAGATCCCTCTGGAATCTTGTGCTAGTTAACAAGAGATTAATTAAATGCTTCACTTCAAGAACATGTGCACGTGTGAATGTATACCCCTTGGATGAAAAATTATAATGCTGATCCAACCTGCATTACAGTTGTTGTATTCTCTGGGCCTGAAACAAAGTCAAGTGAATTAATCGTTAAGTAAATGAATAATTGTCTAATCATTACCTAGACTATAAAGACTCAAAAGAAGTCCATTTGTCAAAAAAATGTATTCAGAGTAGTAATTAAGCCAAAACTGTACAAAAATATTTTGATAAAAAAAAAACAACCTTTGCCTGTAAATCTGGTCTATCCAGAACTCACCAAATTGCATAGTTTTAGCTTCACCTGGTTAATTTTTTTTATACAATTCATAAATTAATTGTCAGAATAATTGATTACCAAAAGAATCATTAGTTGGAGCCCTTCTATTCTCCTTAAGCCTAATTGGAAAAAGTAAAAAATGTCATTTAATTAAGTCAATACGGGGGCTGCCTTAAAATGGAAGAAGAGTATTCTATTGCATTTATTCCATTCATTTGATAATCTATTCAGTCATATATTATTTGGAGGTACAAGCTTGATCCAAGTCCTCTTAGATAATTGAAAGCCGATTCCAATTAACTACAAACTAAGGTAGAATTATGTAGTTCCTCTGCAGCACTGCTGATTAGCAGTTCTTAAGCTAAAACCTGAACACAGCCTGGAACAAACTACTGCAGAAATTTTGCAACCGTGCCCTGCAGGACAGGTCCGACTCATGATGATTAGCATAACTTTAAATGAGCCAGCAGTTTGTCATGCATCCGACACGATGAATCAAGTTCAGCAACTGCGGCCACTGGGCTGCCATCCCTAAAGATGAGAAGGATTTGCATATCAAACTGAAGTCCTACATGCTCCTGCCCCTTCATTGCACCTGCTATAAAAGAGCCTGTGAGGTCATTCTGGCATTCCTCATTTAGTTGTAGCTTATAGGCTGAATTCCTAATGAGATCAGCGAGTTTTAAATCTGTTGGATTATTAGTCCTACCATTTAAAACCAGCTCCCTCAGCAGTCATTTTGATTACCGCATTTGTTCACCATTATCAAGCAGGGGGATACTTATTTGTTTTCTTCTCAGCACTTTTCTTTGTGCTAAATGATTTAGAAATGGAAAACACTTTTATAAGAGAGACATCACTGGGCCTAGTGAATAATTAACATGGATGATAAAATGTTCTTTGCAGGTAGATCTGAGCTGTTTAATCAATGTTTTATTCTTTTAAACTCTGCCAAGGTGGTCGTCTTACACACTTTACACCTCAGCAGAATAACTGTGTGGCGCCAAACGTGATATTCAGCAACATTCTTCCGTTACTGATTTCTATCTGTCTAATATATAGTTCACTTATACCTGTGTATTGAAGTATAACTCAAACCGTAATGTGTAGATAAGATTCTAACTGAAGTCGATAAGAAGGAAATTGTAAGGCTTTCTTGGTGATGGTAAATTATCCATTTACAAGGCAGGTTATTTCACAGCTATGCCAGAGTAATTGAAGACACGCTAGCAAAGAACATCTGGACCCATAGTCCAGATGTTTAAAAAAAGTAATCAAAGTAACACAAGTGATGATTATTTGGAGGGTTTAGTAATAAAGTTTAATTGTTTTTTTTTTTGTTTGTTTGTTTTTTCCAGGGTGGAATGATCACACAGCAACCGACTTGATGTTTTTTTAAAAAAAACAGGAACTGGGTGGAAATATTTGAATTTATTGTGGATTTTCTCCCCAACACACATACATCCTTGCACTTCTATACAAACTGAGGACTTTGCACATTTTATTAACTGAATTCATGCCTAAACCAGGCATTTTCCCTAAGCCTAACCAGCACTAGTCTATTTCTTATCCTAAACTTAACCAGAACATAAGTCACAGCTTACCTCTAAAATCTAACTAGTAGAGCAAAGTGAGCCTGTAAAAAAGTGACGACACTTTGTACAAATGACCTCCGTTTGTTGGTTAATAATATGTTAATAATGTACTAACCGACACAGGTTATTTGCAGTATTTTCAAGTAACACTCACACACCTTTAGTTGACCTTAATATGACTACAATTATAGTAGCGTAGAAAAACTAGCAGCACAAATGAATAATTTAGGTAATGTGTGGAAGTTGGTAGACCTTTCATAACCTCTGTAAATTCATTGTATTATCTTTAGGATCACAGCACAAACGACATTAGTAATTAAAAGTCTTATGGAAATAAGACTTGTATGCAGTGGTTTTTACCCAGTTTGCCCCCATTTTCCTTTTTAAATCACTTCAATTATTTATTGGCTAATTTCTGCATCATTTGTTGTCATCTATAGACTTGTAAACACACTTTGTGAACCCTTGTGTATCGACCAGACAGCACAGCAGTACTGATGATTGGAATTTGTATTAGTGGCATCTGAAGAAGTTCTGCAAATGACTCTTTTGAAAAGCCACAGCCAGAAACAATCCATTAGCCGCTTGTTAGGATACGCCAAGAAGAGTAGATCCAATCTAACAGTGACAGGAAGCACAGCAGACCCCACATCCAACCTCTAGGAAGACAGGAAGGGGACTCTAATAAGCTCTCCATTGTCTAAGTGATTTATCAAGAGTAGCCCACTCACATGGTCACCAAAGTATTTACATCCCAGTTAATCAAATTATGGACGTAGTAAAACTGTGGCTGGCTAAACTCAGTGTAGTTTTGTAATTACATAGACGTGATACTTTTCCTTAGGGAGTATTCATCAAAGTTTACAACATATCTTTTCTTAGTTAAAAGATATGTTCAGATGCCCTTTAAAGGCATACTATGGAAGAGGATTAGGGCCACTGGGGAAAAAAAATAAACATAAATACTGTCTTTAAACTCAGAGTTCTGAGATTAAAGTCAGAATTCTAAAAGTCAGAATTATTATTTTTCAGATTAAAGTCAGAATTCTGACTTTTTTTCTCAGAATTCTGAGATTAAAGTCAGAAGTGTTTAATTTTTTTTTTCCAGTGGCCCTAATCCGCTTCTGTAGAATACAGACCTTCCTTAGTTAATGGTTTCAAATTCAGTTAATTTTTTTCCGTCTTTATCAGCTCCCCTTCAAAATATTTTCCTGTAAAAATAAAAACCATATATATCAACAGTGAGAGATGTGTTTATCCTCAATTACCTCCAGTGCTAAAGTCCCGAGACACACTAGAGCATCTTCACTGCAAAATTACAATCAGTCCAATAATTTAGTGCCCAATGAAACGCCTAAATAATTCCAGCACCTTTCTGATGCAACAAAAAATATAAAAGGTAGCTAGTTGTTTACAATAGTATTTCAATGCCTGGACATATACACGTGGACAAATTTGTTGGCACCCCTGTGTTAACGAATGACAAACCCACAATGGTTGCTGAATTAACTTGAAGCTGAAAAAAGTGATAAAAATTAGCTGAAATTTGACACATTGCGATTGCAATGTGGTTCAACAGAATCCATTGAAAAACAAACTAAAGGAAGAGGTAGCTACCATGTATGACAACAGCTTTCCCTGTTTAGACTAGTTGTGCCTCAGATCATGTGTGACACATAATGTTCCCTGCATTTGCTGACATTATATCAGCAACTTCAAAGTATTCTTTTACACACCTGATAGTGTTGATTGGGACCATGTTGACACTTCTGGGCTGACAGTCATGAATCAGTCACCTCCATCTGGATAAATTCCTCTTCTGCATCACACATCTAGCTCACACACTTAATAACGCCAGGTTCTAAAGACAAAACAAAACGTCGAGCTAAATAAATCGGCTCCCGAAATGCTTTGCAAGTGAAGACTTTTCAACAGGTGTCAAAAATGTTTTGGTTGGAAAACCTAAACAGATTGTTTACTGGTGTCCATTAAATGGGACACATAAAGCCCCTTTTTCACAAGCTTCCCTGTCTGCTTGTGTAAAAGCTTTCCTTGCTCAGATGAAGCCGCCTGTGGCAGCTTTTGCAAAGTAAAACGAACAATATAGACCACATCAGATTCCTTTGTAGACTTGTTTTTTAATTGCAGTTTTTTTTTCCAAACTTCTTAAATGGTGTTACTCCTCTCATAATGGTTTATTAAGTGCTGTGAGCTCCTTGTTTATCCCTCATCCAACTTCTCTGTGCCTCTGTTTGTACAAACTAAATGTGCACTGAAACCTTTAGAAATATTTTGATGCAATACCTTCTTAACTCTGGTCTGAAATGAATGCCAAGCCCACCTTTCACGTTGTCACAGCAAGCATATGGACAGCTGTTTCCAATAATAATGAGGCGATTTCCATTGCCACCTGACACCTAATAATCATTAAAAGCGCCACCTACTGGTGTTTATTTAGCACCCAAACCAGCAGGTGTTTAATGAGTAACAACAGGCATTAATTAAACACCTGCTGACCGTAAAACGTTTGGTGGTGACATAACTCTGCCAGTAATAATAATTGATAGCCAGTAATTTTGAAGACTTCTCATCCAATGAGTAAGCCGCTGAGTCTGACTTTTCAAATCTTCACTTTGAGATATTCAATAAACAGTATGTTCAGTTTTATTGAAAAAAGGTGACATAACCTAAGAGTTTTGTATTGATGTCCGGAACAGTCACAATTTAAAACCTAAATAAGTCACTAAGTTAGAATCAGAATCAAATTTGTTGGCCAATATTATGTGCACAAACAAGGAATTTGATTTTGGTTTTAAGCGGTCACAGTAGAGACACAGATTAGAAATACAAGGTTCTTGCTTGTAGCAATCAAACTATACATTGCCCAACTCTGAATATTTTCATATACACTTGTTATATTGTATTTATTTTATATTCAGTCAATTTTAAATTACTTATAATTTAATGCTTTTTAGTAATTTTTATGTTACTTAAGGTTATATTTGTATTTGCTAATATTTAACATTTTGAATGGAGCAGCTTGTAAACAAATAAGCAATTTCCCTTTGGGGATCAATAAAGTGTATTTTCATTCTGATTTAGAGTAAATTAAATAAGAATAAAGGAACAATCTGCACATATATTTGCAGCCATTTTTTAATATTGTATTATAGGAGAGAAAAAGGAAGAATTGTTATGACAGTGCAATATGCTTAATTTGTTCCACAGCGGAGAAGCTGTCTGCTTAGACTGAAAGGTGTTCATTGCGTTCATCAAAGAGACAGCCTGGGGGAAGAAACTGTCTCTGTGATGGCTCGTTTTTGCAATAAGTAGATGTATAAAAAATATTCATACATGTGATAAACAAAACTATAGACATACACTACATTAAATAAGAAAACACGTCATATTTTTCCTACAGGAAATAGACTGATTTAGAGTAAACTGTCCTGAAGTGTACACCTTCTTGTTGTCAGGTATATTGTGGCACATAGGCTATGTTAGCATAACGGTTTATAAAAATTTATTGTTTCTTGTTTTGTGTGTTCTTTAGTCGTTGTGTTTTGTTTGGAAATTATGTCAGTAATTCACCAGTAGGGGTCAGTAACGCTCCACCAATGACAAAGACATCGAAGGAGAAAAGGAATTCTTAGGGAAATATCGCGCTATCAGACAGCGAGATGACCGTTTATAAGATGGATGTGAGCGTTGTGTAGAGGCTGCACCACTAAACTGAGCTGCTTTTTGTTGCAGGTAAGCTGATGATGTTAAAGTATAAAGTACCACATTGAGTTCTACATTATCAGTTATCAACTACTTTTACTTTGTGCACTGCCGTTGCCATTACAGTGTTTATAGCTTGGGAGAGCAGTGTGTGTGTGTGTGTGTGTAGATGGAAATACTCATTAAAATAGAGGGAATATTAACCATACATTGATTTTCTTTTCTATTGTAATACATGTAAACAGAGAGATGACCGTTTCTGAGATGGATATATGAGCGCTGTGTAGCTACTGTACCACTAAACTGAGCTATTTTGATGTTTAATGAGGTAGTCTCCGTTTCTTCTCTACCAGGACAGCTAGCACAGCTACCATTGCTGCACAGAGCGCGGCAGTCACGTTGCGTATTATTGTGAATGCTTGAGCTGATATCAGGATCATCAGCTCAGTGTAAGAAATAGCTTGATGTGAACACTGTTTCCTGTGTGAGTCAGTGCGTCACAGAGCATGTGGTCATAAAAGTTTATTACCTTTGTGTGGATGTGCCCATGAGACAATCTGTACTCAACAGGTTGTTGCTAAGTAACCAATGAGTTAGTTGATGCCACCAACCTTGCTTAAATGGGCTGTGAGGTTGAGCCGCAAAAGGGTTACCTCTGCCTACGTCCCCCAGAAGGGTGCGGTTCTGGATTGGAGTTCAGTGGAATAATCAGCATTCTATCAGACGTATTTTCTATTGATTTTGATCACTTGTCTCTAAGGATGGATGCCGTTATTGTTTTAATGCACATCACTAGCACCCATTAACCGTTTGGATTTACACATCCATTTTCCTCTCTCTTTTTAATCGTACCTTTTTCATACCAGCAGCAAAAGTGCACATAAACGCTGCTAAGGAACACACAGCCTTCTCTTATACCTTCTTCTGTTGCCATCATCGTTGTCACACAACCAGTTCAAACACCATCAGTACATGCTGTAAACAGAGATCACATCTGAAGCTCTGTCGGTGGGGACAGGGAGACCCAGCAGTCACCGGTGGTTCATCTCTGGGGAAATTTATCACATGAGACGCTCCGAACTCCAGAGACACGTCATGTCAGGCGACCCGTGAAAAACAAGTGGACATTATGGTGGGTGTTTTTTTTTTTTTTT